CGGCTTTAGCATGGTCTAGATTTTATTGTATCTTATCAGCACTCTCTTAAAATGTGTATAGTATGGAGAAAATCAATAAAAACGCCATACGATGTGGACGTTTTTTATTTGAGGTAGACCTAATTAAAGTGATGGTGCGCTGCCAGTCACTTTCACTTCTTAGCCTACAGCTTCTTAGCCTTTAACAACACGGTCTTAAAGCATGTATACAATTAAGAAACACCCAAACTAAACAGGATACAAATCCTCTGTTCTTTAGAACACTGTAGTACATCAGAGAAAGCTTAAAACTAAACATACTTGCCCAACTGGATAAAAAAATGAAAATATTAAAATTCAGCATGCCTGTAGTACAGTATGTACAAATACACAAACAAAATTACTCTATATACAGATTTAATATGTAAATTGTTTTTCTTTCAGGAGAAAGTGGAACTGCTGTAGGTATTAGGAGAGCTTTTCCATAAATTCTTGTCTACAAACACTGTTCAAAGAACTATCACCAGAAAATGTAATTTGCAATAGAAATTCTAGTGTACTGTAGTCAACAAAAAGTTGACTAAAGGGAATAACACTTCTCACCTAATTACATCTAGAGCAACAACTCATTATTAGCATTGAGCAGAGACAGAGATGATATCACAGACAAGATAAAAGGGAAGTTAGATGTTACAAAGTTCTGAAAGTAATTCTCTCTTTTGTCTACTGTGATGGACTTGGTTTACGGTGATTCATTGGGGTACTACGAACACATGCTTTGGTAAACTGCAATCTTTGTTATCTTGAGTTTATACTGTATATTGTAAAGGCCTGCTGGTTAAAAAAAGAGAAAGCTAATCTATCTAAAACTTTGAAGTATTTTCAAGCAAGCATTCAAAATAAAAAAAATTAAAATGTTACAATCAATGTGATGTCTACATTCTCTTATCACATTTTGTCACCTACTTTTTAGATGTGCGCTCTTCTACAAAACAGTCATAAGCAGCTGTTTTAAAAGTTTAATGGAAAACACATTTCTATCACTATGAAGATGTCTATCAATCTTTTATTTGCTACAGTGCTCTATGCAATAGATTCTTAATAGTGCTTTACAGATTTGTGCAGCATTTAATCATATAGTAAAGGTTTACCTGTTTATGAGATACAAAGACAGTAAATCTGAAGCATTATTAAGTTTTGTGATAATTCTTGGCTTTAGTAATATACTTTTCCTTTACAGTTCTGGTGCAAGACAATGCGTCAGAGAAGCACGTTAAATGACTGACAAACATTAAAAGAGAACTGCAACTCTATTTTTATATTTTGGAGCTTGAAAGAGTCGGTAATGGTGAGCGCATTTCAAACCACAATGAAAGTAAAATGTTCACAGTAACTTGTAAAACATCACAAAATAGACTAAATTTCCAGGTACTGTTTGCACAGCACCATATTCTGCAATTCAAAATGAGGTAACAAAACTTCCGGGGACGCGAAGCAGCGTTATTACTTTGTAAACAAGCAGACTTGTGAATAGATCTCTTAATCCAATAGAAATACTGCTCTCGGCTTCGAGACGGTCTTGCAGACAAATACAGTTTACTTAACTAAAGTTAACTCTGCATGCAGACCACATTGGAACATTTCTGCAGTGAAATGTCTGCTGTACAACCTGTTCTTATTCCTCTGTATGTTGCATTACATTAGTCAGTACAGTCACTAGTGAGCAGGAATGGCCTCTCACTCTCTCCTGTGGTGAGACCAGGGGTTTGTGACAACATGGCAGCTATGCAGTACTTCTACTGACTTCTAAACAAAGTTTACAATATTGTGCTTAATTCAGAATTAATTCAGAATTTGTGAAATTTTGCGATTCAGTCATTTTAATTTATTTTGTTACTGAGATTTAATAGCCACTCTAAGAAATTGGGACTACGGTTCCAATTAAAAATATTCTCTTATTGAATGAATCATTTACTAAATATATAGTATGAACCGGCAGATTATTTACCTGTGAAAGTTTAATTTATGTATGCCTAGTGACAAACAATAAAATTCTTTAGTGTGTCTGATCTTCCACTAAATTGAAGCTTGTGCTTTTAAAATAATTGTTAATTTATCTAAGATTTTATCTAGGAAAAACTGTGTGGTGAGATTTAAAATTCCAATCCTACATTACTGTATATAACACTGGGAAACAGGGTGTGTACTACAGTACTGTGCTGCATATCAAATATCAGATATCTCCAATCACAAGTTACAACCACTAAAAGATGGATTTTAAGAAAAGTTCTAGAATTATTCCGTTAGTGTCGCTACCCTAGAGTTTGCGTTTCATTTTGGGAGAAAAAGTCGGCCTTTAAAACTGTTTTTTTTTTTTCAGTTCTGACATTAACCATGCACAGAAGTAATATAAAAACACACAAACACCTGATGGTTTCTTAGATACAAGAATAAAATGAGAAAATATTCACAGCCACAAGAATGTTTCCCTGACATGAAAGTCATTGTTTTAATTTATACCTCAACGGTACCTCTCCTCTTGCTGGTAAAACAGATTTATCTGTTTAGAGAGATCAGGCAGCTTCAATGAATGAACCCCTTTGCTTCTCGCAGTTCCAGAAACATCTTCAAACCTTGATTTGTTTAAATTGTCTAAGACACATAAGAAGTGTGCTTCGGCATGAGAAAATTGCTTATACCATATTCATATGTCTAGCACCTTACTTTTTATAAAGGCCTTTAAACAAGGTTACTCTATGATATGTTTACAGTATGTTCAATACAAGTGAAGGAAGAATCAAATATTTAACACCTTCAGTACAATATGTGATATTTGTCACATTTTGATCAAAAATAATGTAGATGTATAGATAGGAAGGAGTGGTCTACAGTGTGTTTCAGATGAAACATGCACAGATATGTGAATTAAGGTGTTCTCAAAGATTTAGTAAACATCTACAAATGCCATGTGGAATCAGTAACCATACTACAAATAAGCTTATACAAAGGTGAATGCGTGCAAAAGAAATCATTAGGATTTCCTTAGCATAACTTTCAGGATCTCAGTAATGCGCAGGTCAAGTGAAAAGACTCCCAGTATCAGAAGCTGCACCTATGTTGGCACCACTGAATTTAAAGGGAGCAGGGGCACTTATTGAGAATGTGTATAAACAAGTAGGAGAGACTGCTAATGTTGAAGAAACTACTTTCTGGTTAACTTGTAAAACATGCAGGAACATGGAGCAGACCTCTGGCTGTACTCCAGCTCTCTGATCATCTCCAGAGCCAGAAAAATACAGTACAGTAAATCAATATACACATTTAGGAATGCATTTCCAACTCCTCGGCAAACAGTGTTTTAGCAACACACAAGGTAATCTCTCGTACAGTATACAGCAGGTATTAACTTACAATGCTATAACAAACACAAAAACATTTTTAAAAGGTTCGAATTTTGTGTGAGCTAACCTTGGAGATCCTCAGCTCCTATACTAAGTGAATGCTGCAGAGAAACTGCAATTTTGATCATTTTCTTAAGAATCTAAACATAAACAATTTGATCATGTTCTTTAATATGCTCTGCAGGCTCCTTATTTTCAGTTCTGTGGCAAGAGAACCTTATAAAAGAGAAGTGTGTATTAGCTTTAGATGTAATTTCCTAATGTTTCTTAGCTTGAATATGGAATGTATAAATGTGCTTCTACTTCTGCTTTTTATATTTGTTTGTTTTATTTTGTCCAGAGACTACATGTACTTTTATTAATATTGTACAATATTATTTTGGGGAGAAAATTCTTCTAACAATTAAAAATTCAAGTTCAGTCTTCAACAAGTTAAACCTGAAAGCCAGTTAAAGAAATGGTTTATTATATAGATACAAAGGCTCATGATTCTTACAGTATTGTAAATGTACTTCTCACCTTTTTCCTTTTTTATGCATCTTTTAGAAGTTTCTGTTTTTTCAGATGCTATCTCTGTTGAAAGGCTTTGGCATGTATAACAGGCTCATGCACTGAGCCAGTGTTGTCACCCCCTCTGAAATGTAGACAGTTTTGAACCCTGTCATGGCAGAGAACCCATTCTGTTACAATGGCAGAATTGCCTGCTTTCTAGGGAGAGGTGCTGTGAGCGCTTGGGTCCCTTGAGTGATCAGGATCAAATCTCAGCAGCGATATCCTGCACAGGATGCCGGGCTGTAGCAGCACACATGTACACACACAAGCACACAGTGGTCACTAGGAAAAACCTGCTCACTTTATCGACATGTCTTTAAGTAGTGGGAGAAAAAAAGCAACCGGGACAGGGAGAATATAAAAGCTCAGAAAGACACGAAATGAACCCCAGTCAGGAACTGAACCCAGGAAGCAAAAGCTGGGAAGCATTAGTATTTATCACCACTCCACCATGACACACGGGGCACCCACATTCCCCTGTGCCTGGAGCATCACTGAACTGGGGCTCACACTTCCTGCCCTGTCAGCAATGAAACTACGCTAAAACAATCACCCCCCATAAGCTCTACTCATTTACTAAAACCTTGATGAAGTGAAAGATTTCAGAAATAAAAATGAGTGTGATGCTTTTATGCTGTAGGTGATTTTGCTGTACATAGGCAATAAAACATGAAATACCAGGGTAAAGGAGATTAAATAAAATAGCCATTATCTCTATTATTTCGAATACAGGGTTATTTAGTCAGTTTCTCTTTTTAAAAAGTAAATGTTCACTACTATAAACCAGAATTAACCATTAGTTTCCTAATGTTAAAAAGGGGATAAAACTTGCAACACATACCGCATACTTGAAGGAAAGATTGAATTCTCTATTATTTGCTCGAATGTGCCTCTCTTCCTCTGTAAAACAAATACAAAATAAATAAGTTCAAAAGTTAAATTGCAGTAAAACTAGTACAGTAATTAATCAGAACTCTCACATTGTGTTGCATTGTAGCATTTGATTTTGAGAAAATCGGAAATCTTCAGCTTATACTGTAAAGGCACTTGAATACTAATAAGACCAAGGCAAGAGACCAGATTTGCTGTGATGTTTTCTCTTCAAAATACAATTGCAGTTGCAGTGCTTAATAATGTGAGTAAAGAACAGTGTGTTTTTGACCTCTTGACCTCACTGTAACTCTAGTCACTGAAAATGACAGAAACGCAGAAGCCTGGATGCCTGCACTCAGCCTGATTGACTTGAGCCCAGTTTCATTTGTTCAGTAAGGTGACTATAGTATGAAAAGACCCACACCATCTCTATGCAGTATGGATGTCATCATTAGGATCCATCTGCCTCCAGTAACAAATTTGAAATGTTGGCTAAAGGTAACATCCCACACACATGATTCATCGCAATACCATGTGTAGCACACCAATAGTTTTCTGCAACTTAAAATGTTTATGACATCCATTATGTTTATGCACATCCATTATGAATATAACCCTGACATCTTGTAGAATCCCAGAATAACAAAATAAACCTGTGGTTCTCAACCAGTGATACCTTCTGGTTTTGAATTCTTTGGAATTCTTAATCACAACTGATTTCTTTTTTTTTTTTTCAGTCGGCACACATAAAAAAAAGTGCTTTCAGCTCTTAAAATGATTCAGTTTCAGTATTTTCAAACTGCCGTCAGTCAGGTGTGCTGTCAGGAAATGTAACCAGTTGGACCTCTGCAGGTCCAGTTGGACATCATCATTCCCATCGCCATTGGCACATCCCACTTCATCTTGTGTCCGTTCATGATAAATTCATTACCGATTAAGAGTGCTTAGTAAGAAATAAGGGTAAAAAAAGCTGTGGAGAAGCTGTGTAAAGTAATGAATGCTGAAGCTATTGGGAGCAGTAGTAATTAAAAATAAAATAGTTTTAAAACACAGGACAGGAGTGTAGAAACAAATTATCCCAAGTTTTTTTGCAAACTGGCAGATTCATTCAAGTCTTCAATTAGCACTAGAGATTTACCACTGACAACCAGCACACCAGAGATTTCCCTGGACCGGCACTAGGGGAGACTGTTCTTAATTTTGTTTTGCCCTTGTGATCATCGCTGGCATGGTCAGCGATTAAGGGGGAGTTGGGATACTTTTACAAAGGTGATCGTTTAGGCTGACTTCCCCTCCTGCAAGGATAGAATCAGACTCCTTCTGATAGCCATTATGGACTTTATAAACCGCTACAGGACAGACTGTAGAATTATCTACATAAAGTGCATAATGGCTATAAGAGGGAGTCTCCTTTATTTCTTGTGGTCTGGTTGGCGATACTGTACAGTAGATTGTTTGTCCCCAAAAGGACAAACAATCGAAGAATAAAGGTTTTGTCTTTCAGTGAAACTTTTTCCTTGTCTTCCCTTGTTTCCCCTGAGAAGGTTGTTTCTTATTTTGAACTTGCCTGAGAGAGGAGTGAATCGCTGGCTTTTCTTTCTGAAAGGGACTCCTGAGTTTTATTTTGTATTTTACTTTTGTATCAGATTCTAATACCAAGCCTTCTTTTATATGTGGTTCACCCCATTCCGTATCTTTGACTAGAGGGAAGAAATGAACATTTGAGGTTTTCCATGAACATTTCGGGGTGCCCTGTTTTCATTTCTTACATTACTAATTCCATAATTTACATTACAAAGCTAAAACAGTTCACTTCGTAAACAGAGTTTCTGTGTTTCGTGTACATCAAACAGGAGACAAACCTAACAGGAAGCTGGAACCAAAAACTAGAAGTTAAAAAGCGAGAGAAAGCACAGAAAAAACAGATGTTGCTGTGGGGGGGAAAACAAACTCTTGATAAATCTCCCGGAAACAGAAATAAACACTATTTTTAAAAGAACACCATGACCTCCATGCAAGAAATGTCTATGTATGAGTCAGTGTAATGACAATATGGCCACAAGACCAAAGACAAGCAAGGGCGTGGAGAGACTAGCACCGCATGGCAAGAGGATTTTCTGACTTGTTGAGTTTTGTTTGCAGTGGCCACCATAACCATCTTTTTAACTGTGAAGCAGCTGCAGTACAGACGTGGTTTGATGCTGGGAGATCAGACGTACATCTTGTAAAGACCGTGTATCTGGACATGTTGAGAAGCGAGACACCTGTCGTGAGGCTCAGATTGAACTGACGGGGACTATGAGAGATGTGTAACAACTGGACGCTTGCGAGATTTGCATTTCTGGAGGCTGGAAATATTCTTTCTGTGCTGGCATTTAAATGCATATTCTTTCCAAAAATATCCTTTTTCCCAACACAACTTTCATGAAGTAACGTAGGAGGCTGGGCTGTGTCTAATTATAAAAGCATGTGGAAATGCTTTAGCTTCAGAGCTGAAGGAAGGAAGACTGGTATGTCCTTGCTCAGCTTTCTGGTGCCCCCTTTATAATAACTTTACTTCAGAACTGCACTGAACTGTGACTTCTTGTTTCCCTACTTGTAGGAAAGGATTTACAATGCAGGTGCACACACTAAAGAAACTAGTGTGCTTGTTGATAATGTACAGTACAATGGAATTCATTTACACATTCGAAAACGTAATCTACCATCTAAAACTGAGTCAAACTAAATATTAACTTGGATCCTGCTTTTTTCTCCCATTATGCTTTCCTGTCAAGGAACCCAATGTGACTCAGCATCACATGTTTGCTACTGTATGTACTGTAAAAGAGCAAGGGGCTGACTTTTTAACCTGATTGCAATTGACCTATTTACAAACCACTGGTGTTTACATGCTCGGTATTTGTGATTTCTGGCCTCCCATTTGATGCTCCAATACCAAACTTTGAAAATAAGAGCCAGGCACAAGATTTGTGCAAAAAACAGAGTGACAATTAGGAAGTATCTGTGAAATTAAAAACAAGCCCAGTGTGAGAGCAGAACTCTTTCCATGTACAGTACATCAAAATAATACTGTACATGGAATGAAGCTCTTAGACTCCAGCAAAAGAGGCTGCCAGGAGTTTGCCAAAGGGTGTGGTAGATTTCCTTGAATTAGTTTACTGCCTGGCTGATTATTCTCCCCTAGCAGGACATAGAATATAACAGCTTCTAGAAATTCCTATTTATCACCAGTAAAATACCTTGTAAAATTATTCAGGCTTTGAACTGCAATGCCCATTGTGAAATCATAACACCAAATAAGAGTAACAGCTTAATTAAGCACTGCAACAAAAAATGTTTGATGAGAAAAACACAGTATTTTTGTGTTGTGTAATCTACATCCTGAGACCTTCTGACAGAGATCTTATAATTTTGTATATATATACTGTAAAAGTATTGTAGACCTGCAGCTTAGAGATGTGTATAATTGTAGCTTTGGGGAAGAATCATTTGAATATGAATACATTGTTCAGAATTTCACCCCAGGAAACAATAGCTTGCAAAAGCTACTGTATATGGTTCTAAAAAAACACATAGTACCTTTTTCTTTCTTCTTCCTGCAATCCAAACCAAAGAACGACATCACAGAGTTCCTCTTTTGTCCTATGCATCCATGGAATATCTGTAATAACAAAAAAATGTGTATTCAGTATTTTTGTTTTTATTACTCTACATTTCACACCCCCAAAACAAATTCATTTCACAGCAGGTAGACTATAGTGTGCCAGTTTCTAGAGGAGTTTATTTTCTATAGGTCTGCATGTCTCAATTTTTGGCAATAAAAAAATGATCAACATGCACAGACTATGACTTCATGATCAGCAAACCCAATTAAAAGAATTCTGTGCTTTGGGCATGATTATGTGATAAACACACCAGGCATTGCAGGCATTAGCAAACCACTACCCATCTCCTATTTTATTTGAGGTGTTCTTTGTAATACAAAGAGTATCGGTTGAACTTGCCCTGATGCTCTGCCTGAGCTGCTTGTACTTGTCAGAATTTTCCCACACCAGCTTTCAGACCTGTTGCTGAGACAAATTCTTAACAATCACCAGTCAGCGCATGTCAATCAGGCAAAATAAGAAATATAATATACGGTGTGTAATTTAATTGTTGTGAATGATGTGTTGATTCTTGCATTAACTGTAGTTTTTGTACCTTGCCTTAGGTCTCCTTAAATGAATGTCTGCCAAATACATTAATAATAGTAGAAATAAAATGTGACTTCAGGAGATGGTTATGATTTTTATTTTCATAATTGTGGCTGGGAAAATGTGTCGTTTAGTTACTGTAGCTGACTCAAAAGGGATCAAAACATCTGGTGATTGTTTTGGAATTAAAAATGTGATCATATCAAATAATATTGTAGATAACAGGCATAATTGTAGCAGTGAATACAAGTTTGAATTAAAAGCTACAGAAAAGCTTTAAAGAGTTACAGAGATTAAAAAATTACACAGGCTTTCCCATTTGAGATACTTATTGCCAGGGAATACCATTATAAAATGTGATCTTGAAAGATATTTCTTTTCACTGGCACTTGCCTGTGAAATTATTGAATTACATTATAAACATACTCATAGCTCTGACTAAATTTAATCTCTGTCATATCATCATGTGTGATTTCTCCCAGATCCTTCTTCAGAGTTGAAGATTAAACCTTTAATAGCTGTGAAATCAGAATCTTACAGGATTGCTCAATGTGGTGGTTCAAAGTTAAACAGGTTTTTTCTTAAGCAGATACTATGGTTTGTGCGTTTATGCTTAATGGAAACGAATTTATATTTTATTACTGAGACTTGCACAGTACATCTCCTTGGCTCTGATCCATCTTTCCAGAGAGATATTGTTCCATATCTCTACAGTACAACGAAAATCTATTCTGAGTGAACACGATAACATCACAGTGTCGATACTTGGTAACTTTCGAGATTAATCTAGTTAACTTGCATTCAGAGTCCTGGAAAATGAAAAGATTAAACCCTCACCTTTCATTATCTTAAAAGTCATATATTAATTAAATATTCTCCTCTTGTGACTAACATTTCACAAACAGTTTATATGAACAATATGTTGTTGACTGAACTGATAATTTTGTTTTGATAATTATTCTTTCAGTATATTGTTGGGAATTGGGAATTTGCAGTGCTACTGTAGGCCATATAAGCAAAAATAATGTTATCTCAAGAATAAATCAAAAGATCAAACAGAAGAAGTTTGTTCTGCATATTGGTAGGACTGGGGCCCTTTAAAGCAAGAAATAATCTCAATTCAGAAACCTGGACTGCAAAGATGTAAAGGAAACTTCCTTTTCCTTGCAGGCTGTTAAATAGGAAACAAGATTTATTATTTATTATTAGTTTTTAAACCTGAGATATTGTTAGAGTGTGGCAAAATGAACTTTATTTTCCACCCTTCTAGCTGTGGTTTCATTAAGACAGCAGCTCTGATCATTTGTGGAAGATCTGTTGTAACAAATGGTTGAGTAAATAGGAGCATACAGGTATTACTTCAGAAACATTCCCTGGAAAGCAGTATTCACAAAGAACCCAAGAAAAAATGTCAAATCTATTTTGTGTGAAAATATTTAATATTAAAATATATAGAATACAAAAATATAAAAAATCTAAAATACAAAATATTTTAAATCTAGACTCTTCTTTTTTCAATGCTGAGGGAAAATAAGCAAAAGAAAATATTACTTTTCTTCCTATAACGAGACGTTCAAAAGAAAGAGATGATTTCTAATATATCTTCTAGTTTTGGTAAAATATCTAAACGTTTTCAGTGAGGTAAAATTTATCATTGTTGAAGCTTAAATACCCTAATCCCAAGAACACTTCTAGAAGTGCATGTGAGGAAACTCTTTTGCAGTTGTGCATACTGTGCTCTGTTTCTGTGCAATAATGGCACTTGTTTATTTTCCAATAGCGAAACAGCCAGCACTTAGGAGCCTGAGTATTACCTTTTTTCTTAAAGGCTTTTAAATTCCATGACACGTCTGTTCTTTTCATTGTTTCAGCGTTTTCCAAGGGCTCCTAGAATACTTATTCAGGAACCGGTTAAATCCCTGGCTCTCAAAGCTTAATAACACAGCATTGCCACCTAAGATCTCGTGATATCTTCTCAGCTCTGGGAAGATGTCCAGGGAACACTGATCACTGGACTAAGTGGTGCTGCTGAAAAAATGCATGGTTCGGTTCCGTCTGGCCTAAATTTCTGATTCATTGCCCTGGTATGGCAAACTTCGATACTACACAGAATTAGCTGTCCTTCAGATGAGATGTTAAATTGAATTCCGCACTACAGTACTTGTTTATGGTAGGATCCTATGACTGTGTTTTGATGTCCTGGTTAAATTACTCACTGGAGTAGAACAATCAGATTTTCCAAAAGTAACCTTTTATTTTTTTTTATTGCAATTGACAAAACACCTTTTCACTCCTTGATCTGATCTGTGGTGTAGTGAGCCTGCTGGTGCAGAAAAGCTAAAAGCTGATTCATCAAGGTGTGTTGGGACTGTGACTCAGTGATGGATGAATACATCCTACAGCATACAGCATTTTGAGATCCTTTGAAATTAAGTAGTGCTACAGTACATGAAAGGAATTATTACTTATAATTATTAAAATAAAGGACTTTAGTCAGCAGAGCAAAACTGTTCAACAAACGATCTGGGACATTTTGGCTTTTGTGCTTCTGTTATCTGTAATATACTAAAGTTGCGAGTGGTTCAGTTTTTAAAACTTATTAAATTATATGATATACACATTTTTTTATAAATATTGATGTAAATATACATTCTTTTAAAACAAAACAATACTCCTTCTCACCAAAACAGTTTTATGGCAATTGCAAACATTCTTTTGTTCTTAAGCTGAAACTGCAAGTAAACCACACAATTGTTAAATGGCACTCTCACAGCGTATTATTAATAGAATACATTGCAAAAAATGTAAATAAGCCACAGTAATTAGTGTCAGACTACCCAGAACATTTCAGTGGCCTATTCAGATGTCATTAAAACTTTTAAGATAACTGTGGGAAGTTTCTGAACTGAGGGCCTACATAAAGAAGCACATTCATTACACAGAACCTGTTCTGGATCTTACCTCTGTTATAGTTTGCTTCAACAGATGCTTCCTCTTACCAAATGGAGTTTAGAACAGAAGTTAGGGTGGAAGGATAGATCCTAATGTCGCACACTTCTGCTCACCTACTGTGCATATGTAAATCTCACACCCAGGACTTCCCTTCATGTCTCTCTCTCACTCCCCCCTCCTCCCCCTCTATACCCCCGTGGGAAACTCCCTAGCTAGCCGGATCCCGCCAGAAGTGAGGGGGGTTTTAGGCAGCCTATCCTCACCTCTAGAGTACCATACCCTCAACCAAGGTCACACCGAAAACTTCATACGTGCATCGTCTATCTATGGAACTCATTAGGATCTAGCCAAACTACTCCAATATTCAATTAAAATCATCTTGATGCTGACTTCATACATCCACAAATTAGTTTTAAGATTCCAACAACACTTTAACCTCCCAGATCCACTTAAACATAATAGTGAATTTACGTTCACGTCATTCTCTAACATGGTTTTCCCCCCAACATGAAATACTGTAAGCACAGCCTGGGTTTGGCAGAGGAAAGTGAGAGGTAGGGGAAAGCAATTCTTTATGGCTTCAACGTCTTGTCTGGCAATGATACATTTACCACAGAGTTTTCAGATTTCCGAGCTTGTGCACTCTGTGTGTAAACTTAGCAACTGCGTCAATAGCAAGTACACCCGCAGAGACCACAGAGAGAGGAGAGCGTGTCTGAATAAGACCATGCTGCTGAGGTCATGCAACTTCCAATCCAAGTGACAAATTTACCTAAAGCATCAATACAATTGATTCATTTGTTCAGTTTAATTTCAGTGCTCTTTGTTTAGCAGTTAGTAAAAGGAGTACTGCAAATAATAACTGCTTTTTGGATAATACTGCAGTTGCCACTAACACAGATTATACAGACCCTGCCCTGTGCATTTCTAAAAGGTTTCACTTGCAAATTCCCACAAGACTTTTTTTGATGGTTCAAAGACTAAAGCCAAAACTGTGACTTTGTTTCCATTGCAATTAGCTTCATGTTTCTTAGCCTTTTTCATACTCTTGTTGATATCTAGAGCAGGAAGGCAACCAACTACAACCACTAAGCAAATACATCAGTAGGCAGTTTCTATATGGTCCTCTTTGTATTGCTGATATTATTGTAAAATGCTCTCAAATCTTGCCATTTGTTCAAAATAATAAAGTTATTAGGAGTAGAAGGCAGAAGGAGCAAAAGAAATCCAAAGTGTTTTAGACATTATTCAACTAAAAACTAATGTCAAGTGCAAAACACAACATGCAGGGAGCAAAACTGTGCCCTACTGTGCAGTTACAGGATGAATAGCATGGGCCATTGAAGACTCCCCTTTTGAAAATGACTTTGGTGTTTATATTGATTATTACACTCTAGGGACATTGGGAAAAGTGACAAGATCAACAGGTCCCAAGCACAATTTGCAGAAGTTAAAAAAGGAAGTAGTGCAAACTTAATACAGTGGAGTTGTGCTTGATTTAGCATATTGCAACTCT